TCGGATTGGGTCGATCTTGGTGTTGTTGGGTTCGTATTTCCGAGACGCTCAGTTTGACTGTAAGATCGTTGAAATCGGAGTTCGGATGCTCTCGGATTTAATTTTTGAAGTCTCCAACTAGTTTTTGCCTCGAGATTCGTGCCTGATCAAGCTAATTTTGTGATGATGTATCACCTACAATGTGAATCAGACAATTATTTTCAACCATGTATAATCACATCTTCTTCAATTATAGAGAAGAGCGGATTATTGTACCTACAATTATACGACAGATTATTACAACAGGGTCAAACCCCATGATATTTCTACTTCTTAGATTTTTGACGTAAAAATATCAGTTTCTCTATATATATGTACTGCGCCTTTCTACAAAAATAAGATATTAAAATTTCTTTGATCGCAATTTTTTTTATGCATAACAATGATCAACCCTATAATGTTACTTATAAAATTTGTTTAAAAAATAAAAATTTATCTCATATTATTGTTAGGTGATTCCAAAAAATCATTTATAAATATTAAATTTGTATAAATATGAAGAAATTTATATAATTTTTTTTTTGGGAATTTAATTTATATAAATTAAGAACTTAAGAATATGTCATTGAAGCCTAGCTAGACATTTGGATAAAATGATGCTCATAAATAAAGTCCCATGAGCACGTGAAAGAGAGAAATATCTGTATCTTAGAATTGGAGAACCAGGTTCTTAATTTCCTGATTAAGAAATTGAAAAGAAAAAGAAAAGTATCTAGCAATTCTAGCCAACTTAGCCGCTCTGTATAGGGGTACTGTTATAATTGGGTTTCAGGTCGAGTTTGGGTCGAACTCTGAACTGACCCAGGTTTCAAACGCGTATATCCTAACCTGACTCAGTTATGTAAATGGGTTGGAAGTTCAAACATGATCGAATCCGACATGTCGGGTTACTGAGTTGGCCCAACCCATCACGATTGGACGGGGACGGCGGGACTGCAAACGGTGGGGCTCGCATCGACGGTGGGACAACCAGACAGTCGATGCAAAGCGTGGGCAGGCACAAGCAACCTCAGATACGGCACGTGGGCGGGCGCGGGCAGCTCAGATGAGAAGCACGAGCAACCTTGGAGACAACGGGCAGGAGACGTGTTAACCGTGGCAGCGCGGTCAGCTCGTTTCAAATGGATTTTTGGGTCAACTTGAACCCAACCCATTTTTTCAAATGTGTCGAGTCTGGGAACCCGAACATGTCCGAAATTTTCGATCGGATTCAAATCGAATTTTTAAGTTGTGTTAAATATTAACACCCCTATCTTTATATTTAGTTTTCAAGTAGATATCTAATTTGTTTGAAAAATTGAAAGCTACTCATCATTTTATAAGATGATTATTGCACTCAGCAATACCGACAATCTTTACCCAACAATGTGTTTGGTAGGTTAGTCTTAGGACAAAATTTTAAAATAAGTATGATTAAAAACTTAATTATATAATTAAGTATGATAATTTTTTTTTAAAAAATATGGTTATTGTAGAACTCTTTTATTATTGTTGCGTTCTAGAGTATTCGCGGTGGTAGAGAAATATATAGTTTAACGTCTTAGCATTGTATGAAGATCCAACACACAATTAGATAAGTGAGAGCGTGTAGCGTTCATAAGAGACACCATAGTTTTTATGTGGAAACCTCTAAAAAGGGGAAAAAACCACGGGGCATGGCCCAGTTTAAATGAATCCACTAGTATTTGCAGTCGATTACAAATGAGGTCTTTCTTAGGGAGAATGCCTTAGTTTGATGTTACAAATGTATGTCATACATAGCACATTACATGGCGGGAGTTATAATAATCAATATAGATGTGTTTGTTTGGTCAACACGGCCATAGTCGATAGGATAGAGGTCGGAAAGACCGTTGTCTGGTGATGGAGGTCAGAAGGATCATAGTCGGCAGGAGACATATATCCAAAAGATCGTAGTTGGCAGGAGACCGGGATCAGAAAGACCGTTGTCTGTTGATGGAGGTCGGAAGGACCATAGTAGGCGATGGTGGTCGGAAGGACCATAATTGGCTGGAGACTGGGTTTGAAAGACCATTTTTTATTGATGGAGGTCAAAAGGACCATAGTAGGCGATGGAGGTCGGAAGGACCATAGTCGGCAGGAGACTGGTGTTAGAAAGACCATTGTTTGGTGATGGAGGTTGAAAGGGCCATAGTAGGCGACGGAGGTCGGAAGAACCGTAGTCGGTAAGAGACTGAGGTCTAAAAGACCATTATAAAAGAGCAGCACTTCGGGAGAACTCTCGGCGTCAAGCCCGGCAGAAATCCAAGCCTCAAGTGGTGGTCCAACAAAAGTGAGGGCCTCAGGTGGTAGTCCGGCGAAGCAACGACATTCAGCAAAGGTGAGGGTCTCAAGCGGTGGTCCAGCTGAGCAACGACGTCAGGCGATGGTCCGACAGAGGTGAGGGCCTCAAGTGGTGGTCCGGCTGAGCAACGACATCAGGCGGTGGTCCGACGGAGGTGAGGACCTCACGTGGTGGTCCGACGAAGCAACGACATCAGGCGGTGGTCCAGCGGAGGTGAGGGCCTCAAGTGGTGGTCCGGCAGAGCAACAGCTTCATACGGTGGTCTGGCAGAGGTGAGGGCCTCAGGTGGTGGTATGGCGAAGTTCCGGCGGTGGTCCGGAGAAGTTCTGGCGGTGGTCCGGCGAAATTCCGGCGGTGGTCGAGGAGGAGCTTCTTCCTTCTCTTCTGCTCTTCTCTTCTTGATTCAATCCCCCTCTCAAGAGCAATGAGGGGTCTATTTATAGATTTATGGAGTAACATGGCCTGTAAATAGGTGAGAGATCAAGGGTAAATGGAGAGTGGTTGGATGGATGGCCGATATTGAATCCCTTGATCATGCACCGTTCGTCATACATTTGAAGGCCTTAGGGCATCTCCAACCGAAAACTTCATTTTTCACGGCAAAGTAACGCAAAACTCCATAATGGCGCGGTGATGCTCCAATCGAATGCCATTTTAGGTGTTTTTGAGAAGGTAACGATCGCTCTCCCTTTCGCGCGTTTTTCCGGTTGAGAGCAAAAAATGGCGTGAGTGAACAGTGCGACGCCAATATTGGCATCGCACTGTTCACCTGCGATTAAATGGCGGAAATTTTCGCATTCGGTTGGAGCGACGGAACGACTCCATACACTCGTTTAGCGTTCGGTTGGAGATGCCCTTAATGATGTCGGAATTTGGTGATCTTGGGCTCGTTGGATTCGTCTCGTCGAGCCGCTCAATTCGACTATAAACACGTTAAGTTCAGAGACCCTTTGGTAACACGAATTGTGGTACGAACTTTTCAACAGCGCTTCGGGTCCTTGATTTGGACTTATTTGGGCTCGGATTGAGTCGAATTTGGTGTCGTAGGGTCCGTATTTCCAAGATGCTCAGTTTGATTATAAGTTTTCTGAAATTGGAGTTCAGGTGATCCCGGATTTAATTTTTGAAGTTTCCGGCTTGATTTTACATTGAGATTCATGCACGATCAAGATAATTTTTTGAGGGCGTATCAATTATTATTTGATAATTTTGAATAAACATTTCTTTCTCGTTATAATTCAATGATCTGCGTATAGTTAGATCTATGTTTAAAGTTGGATTAAGAATTTTTATTTGAATAACAAAAATTAAATAAAAATATCTAAAATAACTAAATGTGAGATCAATTGTATCCAACTGAGGGGATAACATATCAAATTACTCTCAAAGTGTCAGAACCATACATCCAACTTCTTCAACTGCTCATTCTTTTTCTTTTTTAAAATGTTTAAAAATAATAGTGCCATTGATTAAAAATTGGTCATAGCTATCCTTAAGAATTATAAATATTAGTTCCACAATTAAGAAGATTGATCTCATACAAATGAAAAAATTATTAGACATACCGGAGTACACAGTTGTGTGCTCTGGTAAACTAATAATTTTTTCGTGTTGGTTGTATCAATCATGTATTCAGATGTACATGAGTACATGACTGTATACTATTCAAGTACTTTTTTTAGCAGGTTATAAGATCCGAGCGCGAGCAGCGGATAGGACTTTCCGTCCATCAGCCAATGAGCCACACCGCTCAATACCTAATCATGTATTTTAATTTTTCTATATAAACATCAAGTAAACAATATATTATCGTACACCCCACCAATGCTTGAACATAATAATCTCTCCTAATGGATGGCATAATCATACAAAAAGATTCTTGTGTGGACCAATTGTCAGTGAAAATGAAAGATTCTTATGTGGACCAATCTGATTGGCTTGATGAGTTTTTTTTTTTTTTTTTTTTCTCGCCTTGCGGGAGGTGGAGAGGACTTCAATGAGCCTGAGGATGAGTTTCTTGTGATGTATAGTTTAAATATGAGTTGCATACTTGAAGAACTTTTTCCTATGGGGGTGGCAAACGTAGTAGACAGAAATCTAAAAGAAGTAATTCTTGTTGTTTCTGTTCATGCTTATGTTGTTGGCCTTCTTGGATGATTCTTTTTTCCTTTGGTTATTGTGGTATTTCGGTTGTTGAGCTTTGTGTTTTTTTTTTTGGCTTTGGGTGTGTCTGTTGGGCTTTGCTTGCTCGGTTTTGGGTGTTTTGGGTTGAAGACTAGGATGTGGGGTTTGGTTGGTGTTTGAGTTTGGGAAAAGCTGAGGTGTTAGATTGGGGGTCGGATGGTGGTCGGTTGGCTATGTTTTTCTTGGTTGGTTGGGGTGTTCTGTTTGCCTTTTCTTTGTTAATTCATTTCTTGTAGTTTGATGCATGTTTGTTGGATATCTTGAGGTCTTGACATTGGCTTCTTCCTAATACCCTCTCGTGGGTGGTTCTTATGTGGTACTAGCTTTTGATTTGTTGTCTTTTATTTTGCTTGATTATTGTATTTAGTTTGAATCAAAGTCTCGTGGGGTTTTCTTTAAATGATGCATTTTTAGAGTGCTTTCGATTCATCAAAGACTAGCAACATTTCTTCTTATTGACGCGTAGGCCCCTACTAGTGAATTTTACCCCGAAAAAAAAAATCATCATACAACAAGATTATGATAAATAATCTTAATATCATCACCAAACATCAACCCAAAACTTGATCTATTTCCATTATCAAAACCAACACTCTTCAAACAAGCAACAAAACAAGCACATACCTAATAACAGGCCTCATAATAAGTCTCATTTAACAACCAAGATGTTAAAGCCAGATAGCTCCTGCATCTCGAAGCAAAGGAACAAGTTTGCCACTAAGATGCAGAGACATTATTCGATCAGTTGGGCCGACCAATTTACCACCTATAAACACAGCAGGTAAAGGTGAGCTGCTCTGAACCATTCTTGCCAGAGTCTTCTCCATCTCCTTCCCTTTTGGATCCTCATCGAGCTCATAAATGGCAGGATTGACGCCCAGTTGCCCTATGAAGAGCTCCTTAACACTGTGGCACATACTGCAAGAGCTGTCGGAGAAGATCACCACTGCTCTTTGTGAAGCCAGTGCCATCACTCCATCCATTGCAGAGTTGGAATGCAAGATCTTGAGAGAATTAGATACTTTGGGATTTTGTGGTAGATTTGAGCTCTTATGGAGGGATTATATAAGTGTTGAGAATGGTGAAGTGGAGGTTTTTTTTTTTTTTTTTTTTTAGAATAAAGTGGAAAAGACAGTAGAGAATGTTCTTCAGATATTTTTTTTTAATAGTAGAAATGGCCTCAATGCATCATTGGTTGAAAGTGATTCTTCTAGCTCGTTTTTTCTGCGTGTTTAGATTTTTATGCTGCCTTGAAGAATTATTCAATCATGAATGATTTATTTGGTAGTTAAAAAAAAACGGATTTATGATAAATAAAAATAATTTAACATAGCAGGATGTTTACCCATGAAGTTGGGGATAGGGGCGTCAATAAATTACCACATTTCAATTCTAATCTAAAAACTTTGATTACGGGTTTATCCGTTTGATAAACAAATCGGATGAGGGTTTGAAATTTTGACACGTTTATTAAACAGATCGGATTTGGATTAACCTGTAAATCTGCTTTTGACCCAAAAATAGCTCGTTTAATATGTTCCTTCAATTTTTTTATTGTGGTTATAATATTTTTTATTTTTTTATTAAATTATCTAAACTCTATAGTTGCTAAGTTATAAAAAAAAAAAAAATCAAAATGGGCTAACGGTTCAGATTGAGAGTCATTCAAGTTGCTAGTGGGACAAATTTGTATTCGTCTTATTAATTGGGAGCCAAACTCTCAACCAACAAACAAAAAAGAATAGCGAAAAATTTCACATAAGCCATTTCTGTGGGCAGACTTAGACAAAAATGAGTTGCACGTGTTAAGATAAGACTCCAAGCAAGTCAATGGCTATCAATGGCTTCTTTAGCTCTGTGGGCGATCCAAGTCTCTCTTCACATGGTCGTTATTCTAACGTATAGAAGGCTTTATTCTATAAGTCTTCTGAGGTGGAAAACAAAGGGCAAGCCTTTATTCTATGAGTCCTTTATTGTTAGGGCACATATAGCTTTTAATTTTTTTTGCGAATAGAAAAAAAAAAATGCTGTGGCAGTACTACAAAGTGCAAGTTTTTTGCACGAGGAAATGGGTTCTTATAAAATTGATTGTGACAAATTATGCTATGATGAAGAGGAATTTATCATAAACACTTGTAATTAAGGAGAAATTTGTCAAAAAAGCTTCCACATTGAATATCTCTTTTTTCGCCCTAGCCGCTCTGCTAGGGTTTGTGGCTCCGGGCGCCTTCGCCCGTTCGGCGGGAGCTTTCTCTCCGGCGTCCTTCGTTTTCCTGGGGAGTCCTTACTTCTCTACTTCTGTATTTTAGTGTGGCTATCTATTTTTTCTGGTTCCTTCGATTTTTTGGCCGGCTGCGCCGGCATGGCGGCGGTGAAGCTTTGAGACCCCGATTTTTTCGGTGGGGTTTCCCATTCGCATTCTTTTATTGAAGCGCTTGCTGGTTCTAAACCTTCATTTCCGGATTTGTGTGTTTCTACCTTTCGTGGAATACCGTCTTTATGGGTTTCCAATCAAGAAATCAACGAGCTCGCTGCCCCTTTTCAGTTTTCCCTTGTGGGTTTCTTTCCCTCTAAAAGACCACCTCTTGATTCTATACGCAAATTTTTTTTCAATTTGAAGTTGAACAGTGAGTTTTCTGTAACTGTTTTGGATCATTCGCATATCATGATTAAGCTTGCAAACGATCTTGACTACTGTAGGGTGTTTTGTCACCGTGCCTACCTAGTGTTTAATTGCTTTATGAAATTGACGAAGTGGTCGCCAACTCTGGACATTGCTGCTGAATCGCCTGTTGTTCCTGTCTGGGTTTCATTCCCTCGGTTACGCCCTCATTTTTTTTTTCACCTCGTATTTTGTTTGGGCTTGGTGGTATGTTTGGTAAGTCTTTGAAGATTGACGAAGCTACTGTTGTAGGTTCTCTCCCTTCCATTGCCCGGGTATTAGTGGAACTTGATATAACTAAATCCTATCCTAAACAAGTGTGGTTAGGATCTAAATCTTTAGGTTATACTCAAGAGGTTGTTTTTGATGAATTTCCTCAATTCTGTGCTAGTTGTAAGTGTATCAGGCATGTACATGGTTATTGCAAACCGGTTGTACCTGTTGTTCCTGTGATTCATTCTTGTCCCAAACCTCCTTTAGCGACTGTTAGTTTAGTGGCTGAGGGTGTTTCTAAGATTTCTCTGGAGGGTGAGATGTTGAATTATGTTATCATTCCTGAGAATCTTAAGAATTATAAATATTAGTTCCACAATTAAGAAGATTGATCTCATACAAATGAAAAAATTATTAGACATACTGGAGTACACAGTTGTGTGCTCTGGTAAACTAATAATTTTTTTTGTGTTGGTTGTATCAATCATGTATTCAGATGTACATGAGTACATGACTGTATACTATTCAAGTACTATTTTTTAAGCATGTTATGGGATTCGAGCACGAGCAGCAGATAGGACTTTCCGTCCATCAGCCAATGAGCCACACCGCTCAATACCTAATCATTTATTTTAATTTTTCTATATAAACATCAAGTGCACAATATATTATCGTACACCCCACCAATGCTCGAACCTAATAATCTATCCTAATGGATGGCATAATCATACAACAAGATTCTTGTGTGGACCAATTGCAGTGAAAATGAAGGATTCTTGTGTGGATCAATCTGATTGGCTTGATGGGTCTTTTTCCTCGCCTTGCGGGAGGTGGAGAGGACTTCAATGGGTATGAGGATGAGTTTCTTGTGATGTATAATTTAAATATGAGTTGCATACTTGAAGAACTTTTTCCTATGGGGGTGGCAAACGTCGTAGGCGGAAATCTAAAAGAAGTAATTCTTGTTGTTTCTGTTCATGCTTATGTTGTTGGCCTTCTTCTTGGATGATTCTTTTTTCCTTTGGTTGTTGTGGTATTTTGGTTGTTGAGCTCTGTGTTTTTTTTTTTTTTGGTGGCTTTGGGTGTGCCTGTTGGGCTTTGCTTGCTCGGTTTTGGGTGTTTTGGGTTGAAGATTAGGATGTGGGGTTTGGTTGGTGTTTGAGTTTGAGAAAAGCTGAGGTGTTAGATTAGGGGTCGGGTGGTGGTCGGTTGGCAATGTTTTTCTTGGTTGGTCGGAGTGTCCTGTTTGCCTTTTCTTTGTTAATTCATTTCTTGTAGGTTGGTGTTTGTTGGATCTCTTGAGGTGTTCGCATTGGCTTCTTCCTGATACCCTCTCGTGGGTGGTTCTCTATGTGGTACTAGCTTTTGATTTGTTGTCTTTTATTTTGCTTGATTATTGTATTTAGTTTGAATCAAAGTCTCGTAAATTTTGCTTTAAATGATGCATTTTTAGAGTGCTTTCGATTCATCAAAGACTAGTAACATTTCTTCTTATTGTTAGCGTAGGCTCCTACTAGTGAATTTTACCCCGAAAAAAAAAATCATCATACAACAAGATTTTGATAAATAATCTTAATATCATCACCAAACATCAACCAAAAACTTGATCTATATCCATTATCAAAACCAACACTCTTCAAACAAGCAACAAAACAAGCACATACCTAATAACAGGCCTCTTAATAAGTCTCATTTAACAACCAAGATGTTAAAGCCAGATAGCTCCTGCATCTCGAAGCAAAGGAACAAGTTTGCCACTAAGATGCAGAGACATTATTCGATCAGTTGGGCCGACCAATTTACCACCTATAAACACAGCAGGTAAAGGCGAGCTGCTCTGAAGCATTCTTGCCAGAGTCTTCTCCATCTCCTTCCCTTTTGGATCCTCATCGAGCTCATAAATGGCAGGATTGACGCCCAGTTGCCCTATGAAGAGCTCCTTAACACTGTGGCACATACAGCAAGAGCTGTCGGAGAAGATCACCACTGCTCTTTGTGAAGCCAGTGCCATCACTCCATCCATTGCAGAGTTGGAATGCAAGATCTTGAGAGAATTAGATACTTTGGGATTTTGTGGAAGATTTGAGCTCTTATGGAGGGATTATATAGGTGTTGAGAATGGTGAAGTGGAGGTTTTTTTTTTTTTTTTTTTAGAATAAAGTGGAAAAGACAGTAGAGAATGTTCTTCAGATATTTTTTTTTAATACTAGAAATGGCCTCAATGCATCATTGGTTGAAAGTGATTCTTCTAGCTCGTTTTTTCTGCGTGTTTAGATTTTTATGCTGCCTTGAAGAATTATTCAATCATGAATGATTTATTTGGTAGTTAAAAAAAAAAAAACGGATTTATGATAAATAAAAATAATTTAACATAGCAGGATGTTTACCCATGAAGTTGGGGATAGGGGCGTCAATAAATTACCACATTTCAATTCTAATCAAAAAACTTTGATTACGAGTTTACCCGTTTGATAAACATGCTGGATTTGGGTTTGAAATTTTGACACGTTTATTAAACAGATCGGATTTGGATTAACCTGTAAATCTGCTTTTGACCCAAAAATAGCTCGTTTAATATGTTCCTTCAATTTTTTTATTGTGGTTATAATATTTTTATTTTTTTATTAAATTATCTAAACTCTATAGTTGCTAAGTTATATAAAACAAAAAAAAATCAAAATGGGCTAATAGTTCAGATTCAGAGTCATTCAAGTTGCTAGTGGGACAAATTTGTATTCGTCTTATTAATTGGGAGTCAAACTCCCAACCAACAAACAAAAAAGAGTAGCGAAAAATTTCACATAAGCCATTTCCGTGGGCAGACTTAGACAAAAATGAGTTGCACGTGTTAAGATAAGACTCCAAGCAAGTCAATGGCTTCTTTAGCTCTGTGGGCGATCCAAGTCTCTCTTCACGTGGTCGTTATTCTAACGCATATAAGCCTTTATTCTATAAGTCAGGTGGAAAACAAAGGGCAAGCCTTTATTCTATGAGTCCTTTATTGTTAGGGCACATATAGCTTTTAAATTTTTTGCGATATCGAAAAAAAAAAAAAAATGATGTAGAAGTACTACAAAGTGCAAGTTTTTTGCATGAAATAATGGGTTCTTATAAAATTCATTGTGACAAATTATGCTATGATGAAGAGGAATTTATCATAAACATTTGTCATTAAGGAGAAATTTGTCAGTTTGAGGTAATTTTGGACTTTTAATTTTATAGGGCATCTCACAGGTAAGGGTGCAACCGAGTCAAGTCGACTCGCGAGCGAGCTCTAGCTCGACTCGTTAACGAGCTCGTGATTCGAATTTATCGAGTTTCGAGCTTGAGCTTGAGTAGGATTATCGAGCTCGTTGGATTATCGAGCTCGAGTTCGATTCATAAAATGCTCGGCTCGATTACTCGTCTAGCAGCTAAAGTGCGGAATCAGGAGGAATTGTGGAAGGCGAGATCGCAACGCTGGCTCGGACGGAGGAATCACGGGGGTGGGCTCGTGCCTGGAAGATGGGCTTAGACGCGGTAGGCAGGCTCGGAAGCGGAAGGCAGGCTTGGATGCTCACTAAAACGACAGAATTGCGGGGTGGGCGGGCTGGAATGGCGGAACATGGGGCGGGCTCAGATGTTGGCTCAGAGGCATAAAACGGAGTAGTGAGGCGGAATTAGGGGTGGGTCGCGGTCGGGAAATCGAAGCTCGAATCGTGTAATCGAGCCGCTCGATGAGCCTTTTTCAGTGGCAGGAGCTTAGCTCAAGCTCGCCTTTTAAGCTCAACTCTAGTTTGAACTCGGCATTTGGCTCGCGAGTTGAACTCGAGTTTGGCTTGACTAGAGCTTGACTTGAATCATTTGCATCCCTACTCCCGAGTGGTGATCTTGAAGCATTATTGACTCATGCATTGATTAATTCCATATTTCGATGTTGTAGATTGTTTAGGGTTGGGTGTTTAACCTACTTTGTATTTCAAAGAGGGGATTCATATTGACACTCTTGAAAATGATTGTGAAGTAATGAATTATTTTGTTTGTTGAAAGCTCTAAAAATTCCATCAAAAATACGAAGGAAACCCTCAACAAAATCTCACTACATGTGCTTAGTTGACTAATTTTAGGCCTCATATCAAAATTTTAGCTTTATTTTTTTTTTTAAACAATCCTTGAAGTTTATAAATTACTGAGAAATATTAAATAATTTTAGTTGAATTCTAGCAACATATCAAAAGATCTTATTATATAAGATTACAAATATTTCAAATAAAATAAATGCAATGACTCAGATAAATGGCCTGCACCTATGAATTTACACTAGCATCTTTTAATAACTTTAAGAAAGTTTCACTTTTAGTTGATGAAATTTCTATATTTGATAATTTTGATTTCATGTTTATTTTCTCATATTATGGATCAACAATGCTCATATGCACTCTTCCAAATGTAGGAGTAGAACGTAAGTAGTGTTGATCCATAATATGAAAAGAAGTCATCATGCATAGACAAATACAATAACATGAATATAATATATATAACTTAAGCAATTTGACAATAAACTTGCATGAGGCACATAAAATATGACGCGTATGTTTTTTTCATTACATTATCGTAAACTTCATGACATAAGTAATCCGTCATAATTTATCAATAATAAAAGGAAAAAAAAGGCACATAAATTTTTGATGTTTTGACACAATAATTTATCTATATTACATGTTTATTATAAAATTAATTATGTCAAAAACCCCGAGAAATTAAGCCCAATGGGATATTTTACTCATTACTCACCTTAGAAGTGGCCTAAGGTTTCTCCCCAACCAACACCACTATAATAATTCTAATAAATGAATTGACGATAAACTAATATGTTTCAGTTGCTTTGTTTTTAAAAAATAAATCAATACGTGATTCTCCTCTATGTTACAAATATGTAAATAAAAAATTTATTGTTTTTGCACCTCTACCCTAATCTTATTATCATAGAAGTTGTGTACTTATATATCTACGTAGATAACGTGCAAGTATTTAATAGATTTACGTTAATTAGGAACTCGATCAGGGAAATCCAATGGTCAAAGCAACACTCATCTGGAAGAATTATGACGTTGCAGAACTATCGTTGACATCAAAACGACGTCATAAATTAAAGTCACTCTCCCTTGACTGAAATCACAAAGCACAAACTCATCTAGACCAAAGGTGCACACATTCTCAACGAGCTCCTCTAAAGGATCTGCTCATACTAGTCTGTGCCTTGACTATTACTCGCCTCAATCAAACTCGCTCACTCTCGGCAGTTTTCATAAACCAAGGACACCCTCGTACATATCACATAATTCCCAATCAAGCCATATGAAATGCGCCCCTGTGAAACCTATGAATATGACTTCATTGACTGAACATGCCCCTAGTTCACAACCAACTCCGCCCATGAGACATGCCTCTTGCTCTCAGGGTGGTCTTCACTTTTGCTTCTAGAAACTCACCTCTTATTCATAGGAAAAATTATTAGGTGCGGAGTGTGCACCGTCCGCACAGATATGGGTACCTAGCGGTACCCAGCGGTACCGAGTGCCGGTACCTAGCTAGGAATAAGGCTTGTGCGGACGGTTCTCCCGGTCCGCACTCCGCACCTAATAATCTCTCTATTCCTAAAGACTCAACTGCACAGACTCACCCTATAAGCTAGATCCCAAATATTAGTCAAGGACATTCGCCTTCAAAGACTTGTCCAAGGAACTCACTTTAGAGAAAGGGGCCACGTTAAAAATACAGATCCAAATATATATTATGAAGTCAGTCTACGTGTTTATGTCAGTTTGTAACTATCACATTCATGGCTATATATTATAAATAAAAATTGATAATGCATGTTTTGAATCTTTTTTCATGTAGTTGGGATACTCTCTAAGAAAATATTGCTCTCCATACTCACTAATCTCATTCACCATCTAATTTTATAAGTCTAATTTTAGATCAAGCTGCTAATAGGGTTTAATATCATCTATGGACAATTTTATATCCGAAAACCACATTTTGCAAAATATATATATATATATATATAAGTTAAACAACTATATTGAGCCTTATATGGAACAAATCAAATCTAAATGAACTAAATAATTTCCAAACATTAAAAAAAATATAAATATATTGTATAATCACAAACAAGCGGCGATCCTCTCCAATTATCAAAATAATTTGAAAATAAATAATAAATAAATTTAGGCCATCCAATTTATTTTAGATGGAGAAAAATTAAGAGAGAATATTCATAGTAAATTTTAATTAAAATATATTTATATTTTATATATTAATATTGTGATAAATATATTTTTGGGTGATTTACAAACATACCACTTTATTTCATGTTATTTACATATATAATACCTAAAACTTTATAACTTTTTTATTTTAGTAATCTCAAAGCAAATTTAAAGATTTTAAAACCAATCATTTTTGTCAGGATATACTTATTTGTTTTTTCATAAGATATATTTAATTATTTTTATTAAAGCCATGATTTAAATCTTCATAATTGAAGAGTGAGCCCATACAACAACATTGGATTGAGCCCAATTATTTGAATTTGAGTTGTTCATGAGCGGGCTCATTTATTATTATAAAAAAAAAGAAAAAAAAAGATGATTTTAATTCTATTAGTTATTGTAATAAAATGATAGAAAATTGAGAGAAAAATTAGTAGAGAAAAAAGATGGTGATTTTTTTAATTATTTGTGATAATTTTGCATTTAAATTTTTTATTATGATATATATTTTTATATAAAATTAGTTAGATCGTGAGATATCGAGACGAATGAGTTGTTTGGTTTGATGAAAAATGAAGAGGTAAAAGTAAGGCAGGGGTAAAGTAAAACATATTAAGAATACTATTGAGTTAATTGGTTGAGTATTTGAAGCAATAGTTGATTGAAGGTGGTTAACGACGATGATGATGGTCAATGGTGGCTGATGATGGAGTTGGATGATTGCCGCAACAACGCGTGGCAATGACTTGTCAAGGGCAGCAATTGAGGCCAATAGCACATTGCAGTGGCTAGCGACCAATGAAGGTTTCAATGGAATCGATGGCAGTTGCTAGCAACTGGCGGATGTTGGCTAGTGCTCGTAATTGTAAACTTGCGGTGGTAGGCAACCAATGTCACTTTTACCCAAACCGTGTATGTAAAATTCACTCAAAATGACCGAATTCCAAATGCTCTAAAAAATGAAATAGAGATGAATTCCAATATTCAGCTCCAAAATATTTTGTATTTGAAAGAAAACCCTACATTTACTGAACTTTATACTCATAATGCTACCGACCAAACAACCCCAAATTCAGAACGAGAAAAATCAACTCAGCTCAACTCACAAACTATTTATGGAAGAATCAATACTTAAGTCAATTTAACTTAGTAACAATCTTAGCCATATACCATCACACCACATCACATCAATCCATATCTTACATTCCCCTTAGCCATTAGAATCATATCAATAAAACACTAAAACTAGAGAAACTCCATTGGCACGAGAAAGTGGGCATCTCCGCTAGTTTAAGCACTAGGCCTAAAGTGAAAGAAAGACGTATATATAAACATATATTGAACTAACCTTTTTAGGTGATAAATATTCCATTAACAAGGAAAACCATATCATCTTCCACAATATACTTCTTCAGAGCATCTTAGCATCTCTCTCTCTCTCTCTCTCTCTCTCTCTCTCTCTCTCTCTCTCTCTCTCTCTCTCTTATCCATGGAATCTCCCACTGGTAGGACTAAACATGTCATGATGCACATGTAAGCATAATGACATAGCTGAGACACATCAACCAATATTGACAATATATTATTATAAAGCTAAACTTAGGCATGATTTGCATTGGTGACTTAGCTTGATTAGTGCTTGTTGATGAATGTTTGATTGACTAATTGACCAAGTTTAAACAATTTACTAAATATTTGGTTAATAAATGATCAGATTTAAATAGCTTGCTGATTGATTCATTTATGATCATGAAAGTTTATCGTTTAAAACTTGTGAATAAACTTCTTAAGATGCTCGTTAAAAAATTTGATCAAGGGTTTAATTTAAGTAAAATATAGTAGTAGAAAACTAATTTAGCATTAAATTAATTTCTAAAAACGGGTAAATTTTTTAAATGTTATTAATATGACAAATATATTTAGAAGTAAATGAAATTCAATTAATTAAAAAATTAATTGTATTGATTTTCATTAATTATATGAAATGATATTGTTCATATTGACGATCACATGTCCTTATTGTTATATGTTTCTGCTAACATGGATTTGAATTGTATGTTGTTTCTATTGTCTTGCGTTGATTACATTTATAGATTTTAAAAACATACTAAACTGTTAGCTCACTTTGTGATTTTTATATGTTTTTAAAAAATGGGTCAAAATTCAATAGAGTGAAGTTAATCTAATTTAAGAACCTTAGGTTTAGATTTATATACTTTTTGTTATAATTTTTTAATAGTCATGAGTAGATATATTGTGTGTATATTGAACTTTTAATTATTGTTAATGAATTTTAATAAATAATAATAATAGTGAAATATTTTATTATATATGATCACTTATGTTGGAATTTATTCAATAAATAAATTTAGTAGCTTGTTGACCTTATTCTTGAGTGAGGTCAATTCTCCAAATTAAAAATCCAATCTCCACATAAAAAATATTGAATTTTATTCCAAATTTCAAATCCAATTCATCATTGTGCTTTGGTATGGTGATCACATCATTTATCCCAAAATTATCATTTGATAGTCATCAAGACTGTCAATGATATAAGTTCAATTTCTTAACTAATCGTACAGTACGAAATTATCCGTACAGTATGAACAATACAAATTATGATTGTATTGGATGAACCAAATGTCATCTAGAAGTCTCGAGTAAATTGTACTAGATGATCCAAACTTCATCCAAAGTCTCTTTGGGTGACTCGTACATTACAGTCTATAATCATACAGTATGATCTATTCAAAATAAAAAATTCCTCCAATCGTTGACCTCCACAATAAAACACTCCAATGCACCAAATTCACTACATTTCATGCCTTCAATGAATCAAAATCATATGTGAGTCAATTCATGTTGAGTTGACTTGGCCAACTCACCAAAATTAATCAAACCTCTCACATACACACTTCACAAATGCAAACTTCATATCCATGCAACCAAATCCACCAAAATCCTTGTAAAATAGTCTCTAGAGTCTCCCAACAGTCCATCTTAGGCTGCTTAACCAAAGTTGACTAGTCAACATGGTTAATTTCATGAAAAAACTCTTTAAATGATCAAATTAATCAAATCTCAAAAATACCTCTACACCAACCCATATGATCTGTTCAAGGAAATTCTAGAAGTTTCCTAAGCATCTCAAATATCTAATAAAATATTAACTCAAACATAACAATTTCTTCTCTCAAAAATATTAAAGTTCAACATAGGATATACTAGAGTGCTTCTGGGGAATCCTAGAATCTCAAGTGCTCCCTACCTTTTATCCATTGATCTTTAGAAAGAATTATTCAAAATTGATCTAATCCCTTTTGAAAACTATAAACCTCTCATCTTTGGCTTAAACGTTGAAATCTAAGAAAATATTTGTCAATATTTTAATCAAAAGTATTCTTAGGAGATTCGCCTATCCTGAGATGTAATTAACTACAAAGACTTGCCTTATGGTGAACATGTAACTCCATATTAAAATAAACCCTATTTTTCTTTCATAAGATAGGAAAACAATATTTAGAAATGCCAATGAATTTGGTTAAAACCATTTTTTTTTTCATTCAAATGCTTATGTAGAATATCATTTCCATATTTTGAAATGATATGATATACTCATTGTTTTATTTGATTACAGAAATGGAGACTTTCTTAAAACTCAATTTTGCATTCCGATCCTTTATAAAATATAATTTTCCTTTTTCAAGCTGGTATGATATTCTCACAGTTGTATTTGAGTAAAAAAATGATAATTTTTTCAAAATCTATTTTTGTCCTTAATAGTATTCTATAATATCATTTCTGCCTTTCAATATAGTATGCTATTCTTCTATATATTGTATTTAACAACAAAAATAATATTTTTTCAAAAAAACCTATTATTGCCTTTAAACCCATTGTAGAATATGTGTCATTTCTAGAAGGTATAATGTTCTGATAGATTAATTAAAATATAAAGTATACAATTCTTTCAAATATAGATCATAGAGTGTCACAACTCTTTTCGACCATTATCAATTTACTATGACTCGTTGATCCCCGTTACTCGACTAAGATCATTTGATCTCTATCACTTGATTATTATCCTTCCGAACACCATTACAATCATGGTTGTCTATCTATTTCCTCCAACCACTGTTGTTCAACTATAGCCCTCCGATTCCAGTTGCTTAAGAAGGGTCCTTCAATCTCCATCACCCAACTGCCATTCCTAACCGCAAATGCTCGACTATGATCCTTCTGGACACAATCATCAAATTATAGTCCTTTGACCTACAACCTTCTGATCATTATTGCTTGGATACTCCGACGTTTATTGACTTCATCACCTACCATCGTTAAAAATGTCAATACATGCCGTCACTTATGGTATCGATGTAAGCCATCAACATCAATTTTGGCTTTTAACGTCAACATTAGGATTTATGTCACATATTTTTTGTCTCTAATATCCTCTTCTCAAAGGAGGATAAATATTGAACAATCTTTTAATGACAACTTTCATATCATCCGATTCTTCTAAATTCCTCTATATAATATGCTATATACAATGTATCAAACATTGAGTTAATGTCTTTCCTTAAGGAAGGACTCCGTTTGTGATTGATGATGCATGCTAGTGGATCATTTTAGCTAGGCCAAGCCTAGTGGTTTTTTTTCCTGGATTTTTCATATAAAGGTTTGATGTTTTGTACAATTCTTGCACTCCTCTTTGTTTGTATGTGTATTGGATTTTGTTAACAACTAATATATTATACTTTATATCCTTTCATCGTCGTGAATGTTCTGGCACGCAATATAGCTAATCACTTAAATTTGAGGAGAGTGTGATAAAATTTATTTAATTATTTCTAATTGTCTAGCAATTCAAATTTAAATTTGAATTAAAAAAGTATTTATTATTATGATTATCATGTATTTATTTATTTGAAGAAGCTGCCTCACCATCATCATCATCAGTCTAGGTTGATTAGGGATGTAAACGAGTCGAGTCGAGTCGAGCTTTATTCTACAAGTTTGAGTCGTTCATTAAAAGAGAGAAAATGATCATGATTTTAGCAACTATTACATAAAAATGATAAAAAGAGAAATTATAAGAAAAATAATAAAGAATAATTTTATATAAGAAAGTAAGATAGAATTTTTAATTATATCAAATAATTTGATATTTAAAAATTTAAATCCTAATACATTTTAAATAAATTTTAGATTAATATTTTTTTAAAAGTCCACGGGCGAACTCATAAGTCAAGTTGAAATCAACTTATTGCTTCAAAGGAACCTTAATTTTGATCCGATAGTTGATTGAGTTCAACTTAAAAGTCATTTATGTAATTTAAATAATTTATGTATTTATGGCGCTAAGCCCTAGCCAACTCGTGACTCAGGCAGACTAACTTACAGTCCATCCCCGCCCACGCAACCCGCCTTGTCAGAGCCGAGCAACCATCCGCTCATTTATCTCAATTGCAGTACTCTCCTCGCCTCGCCGTTGCCCTCCGGACATGGCTTCGCAGAATGATTCCGACGTCTTTAGCGTTCGTATAGTCTCTCTCGATTACTACATGTCGTCTCCGATCCCAGACCTAGACTCCTGCAGCAGTTCCTTTCTAGGTCGGTTGCGGCTCATCATCCTTCCCCTCCACTTCTCTTGCTGTTCTCGCCAAGGTTTATTTTGATTTATCTATATCACAAAAAGTTTCCTAATCCGTCGCTATTTCATGTTAATTTTCAGGGACCAAGGTGGAGGAGGTTCCCGTTATAAGGATATACGGAGCTACGCCGGCTGGACAGAAGACTTGCCTGCACGTTCATGGGGTTCTTTTCATATCTTTTAGTTTTCATCTAATACATTTCATGTAGCTGTAGAGAGTGTTTATCCGTGAAATTTGGTCAGTTATTGTAGAAATGAAGCGGCTTGCAGTTGTTCAGTCTGCCGTTTTCATGTAGAAACAACAAATTGCAACATTGGGCATGGATTTGAAATGTATTTACCGTAGAAAAAGTAAGAGCTCATTAGCATTGCGATGGGTGAAAAACCTGCACCGTATATGTTAAATTTTGTATTTGAAATTAGATTTAAGTTCTACTGCTTTGAAAATTTCTATGGAATATGTAAGAACATGAACGGTTTCACTACGAGTTGTCATTTCTTATACCTTATTAATTGTGAAAAGTTTTTTGTCATCTATTTCTGAAAAATACTTGATTGAACATAACAAGAGGAAATTATTCTAATTTTGCAATGAAATGGTATTTGTTTGGTAAAAACAATTAAATTAATAATAATCACATCAAGTTCAGTTGTTAGAGGTGACCTTAGTGGGAGGCATTATGTCACACATTTTCTTTTAGATAGTCGAACCCCACATGTTCTGGATTGACATACTATATTACCGTCCTTTAGATAAAACTTGCTTAGCTAACTAATTCGATCGGGTTGTGCACACCAAGGATTAAGGCACTTTGATCCAATGCCGAGAAATAATTCAATAAAGAGACAACTATTAAAACAATCAGTGCTAATTAAATATAAGAATTCATGCATGCAACTATTGCATGATTCTTTCATTTCCTGGAGCTAATGCTCATTGGACAACATGATTTTGATAAAAAAATTGGAATTAATAATAATATTCATTTCAAAATTCCTTTCCGTAATTTAAAATTTTAAAAATTAATGTCTATATAAGATTTGAAACTCAAATACAAGAGTAAAATATAAAATGAATTTTCAAAATGGTAAACTTCATTCCTTATTTTTTTGGATGTTTAGCAGAGCCCTACATGGGGTCTTGGTTGGGTACCCACGTTCTGCGCTGGCGAGCTTTGCCCACCCACGCCCACTTATGGCGACTTTCGGGATGTCATACCCACCCACACCCACCCACTTTTCACCCTTCTTGAATGCAGTTTGCCACGGATTAATGACCTTGAGGTTTTTTACCTTTTTCTCTGACTGCAAACTTTCAAGCCACATATCAAAATTTATCGTGGTCGCGACGCAGTTCAGTGTTGCGCACTGCGTAATAAGGATTACTGTAATATACTGCATATGATTAGTAATGCAAATCGGTTTGCCCCCGATGTTGAGTACCCACCCACGAGGCCATGAGAGTACCCATACCCACCCATGCCCATTGAGTATGGGTGGGTATGTGGGTGGGTGTGGGTATGGGTACCCAATGCAGGGCTCTGATGTTGAGTGCATATTCTACAGTCATAGTGCTTCTAACTTGTGCCTTTAAAAACAAGAGTGAAAAACCCAAAAGTTGGGGCAATCAGATCATCATAACATAATCCCTCTTTTCTTGAGCAACTCTTATCATCTATGTGATGAAGATGCATTTAGAGTTCAAATGTAATTTAGTGTATCTTGTTTTTGTAAATGCTTAAACCATGATAATTGTAATTTTGACCTAGTCCATTTTAACTATTCAATACACAAATGATATGAGGCAAGCTTTAAACTTTACTTAGGGGGGTGCATTATGAGCCTTGCACCTCTACCTTGGTTTCATATGCGTTAGCAGTTTCACTTTTTGTAGAATTCATCATAAGAAATTTATATGTTGGGCTATTAATAGAATATCCTATGAATAAACATTCAATAGTTCCTGGACCTAATTTTCTTTGCTTTTTTTTTTTTGTTTTTGGGATAATAGTTTTAGCAAAATAACCCACAATCTAAAATAAATTAAATTCAATTTTCTATTTTACAAACCTCAAAAGGCTTCTTATAGAGCATTCTACTTAAAATATACAAGATGTTGGCAGAGCCTCACCCCATAATTTATTACATAATATTGAAGTAGTAAGCATTGAATTCATCACATCTAGTAGAGCTCTATTCTTTCTTTTGGCTACATCATTAGATTGTGGTGAGTATGGTGGAGTGATTTCCTGAGTTGTGCCATTAGATACACAATAACTATTTAATTTATGTGCTATAAATTCTCTTCCTCTATCGAATCTTTATATTTTCCATTTTTATTTAGTTTATTTTCATCTTCTAAATTTTACATTTTAAACATGAAAAATGCTTCATTTTTTAATAAAGTAAATGTAGCAAAAAAAAAAAAAAAATCGATAGAGATAACTAATGAAAGTTATGAAATATTTTATATCACGTCGAGTTAAATTCTATTCATGTCACGCATGTCACTATGTATGAGACCTAATATTATCTTTCCCATGCATGATAGACTTGGTTGGTTAAAAAAAAAAAAAAAAAAGACTTGGTTGGTTTTCTAGTTTGTTTTTGTTGAGTGTAAATCTCACATTTTTTCATATCAATATTACTGTGTGGTATCAAATCTAGATGCATTGTCCTTTTAATACTTTGATAATTTACATGACCTAATATGTCATGCTTAATACAATTAAAGTCAATCATATATATATAAAGTAGAAACAATTTCATTGCCAATGAAAATCAAATTTAATTTATGTATCACATTAATATCTCAGGCCAATAAAAAACCTTTATTTGTGATAACCAATTTACTGAACTTAAATACAAAACAACAACAATGTTGTACAAGTAAATATCCACTAATAACATTTTAAATGCAGCACAAAATATTTGGCAAGTCTGTTTTTTTATGTTTATTTGTTGTTGACTTGTCATTATGGAATAATGTTAGCTCTAGCATGATTTCCATGCTCATACTTCCTTTCGAGGTGTCTTGCTAAGAAAACCAAAATTAATCGAAATTATTATGGATGATAGCCTTTGTGTATATCCATAAGACCATGAAATAAGACCAACAAAATATGTTTTTGAAAGTGAGCTAATGCACATTTAAGAAAGTGGAGTAATGGCGCTAGAATTGATTGTTCAAATATGTTGATGGATGGTGTAAGATGTGTAAGAAAAATGGATTCTATTATTCTAAAATGATCACGGTCTCTCTCTCTCTCTCTCTCTCTCTCTCTCTATATATATATATATATATATACATTTATATGAACATGTACAAAGCTTAAAGCTAGTATTTAGCTAGCTTGTAGCTCAAAGAAATGTTAGCTTCAATTGATAAATTAACGATAATTGAAGCATTAAATCTCACTAAATATAAGAATTCATGCTTGCAAGTGTTGCATGCCTCTTGCTTTTCTTAGATCGCCTAAAAATCTCAGCAGGCAAAAAGAATATTGATAAATTTGAATTAATAATAGTATTATTTCCAACACTTTTATGATCTACAACTCATTTTTTGTATTTGATATTGTAGGCGTTACCATACTTCTACGTACCTTTTCCTAAACACCTGTTGCAAAGTTCTGAAGAAGGTACTAAATCTATATGAAGCCAATTATGTAAATCATCCCTATTTATAAACATTATAATTATCTTCATCTGTGTTCTATTTAGGGTTATTGCTTGTATTCAAAGCACAGGTTGCTCCATTAATTTGTTTTTGTATTAGTAGTATATTTTCCAGCAGCTTTAAGCTTCAACTGCAATAGGGTTTGGTCATTTTCTTGCAATAGCTATAATTTCATTTAAACTAGTTGCATTCCTCTGCATTGCTAGTGAGAGTTTAAAAAACAAGTTATTAGCAATATGTTTTGGTGACATAATTAAGTGTATTGTTTCATTCTATTTTTAATATCACTCTTTTGTGTTACTTCATGTCATAGTTAGTTAACTATGGGAGGTAATTTTTTAATGATTTCACGTTTTAAATTGTTGTGCTGTGCATATGTCCAAATAGCAGCTAAGATGCTTCTCATATCAAACCTATTGAATAGATTAGCTTCTTAAAGTTATTATATATTTAAAATTCAGGGGGGCTGGCACTAGGAAGACTCGATCTCTTTTGTCAAAGTAGACGTCCTTATGTTTTGGGTCATGGTAATTCTTGTGATCATTCTGTAATGCATATCATTCAGGACTCTCTTATCTTCTCGGTTGTCTAGCCCACTAATTACATTTCTATTATGTCTCTTTCTAATTAAGACTCCTAAAAATAGGAAACAATATCAAGTTGAAATATGCATTTGATATTGTGCCATTGTTGAAATAAACTTGGAAGGAAATGTCTTCTTAATATCCTGCCACAAGATTTCGTTGGCCTGTTGATCCTCGTGACTGTAGTTGTCTTTTATTAGGCAGGGTAGTCCATACCCAAGAATGTTTTCATCATTTACACTAGCCAATTCTCCACCTGATGTTTTAGCTGTCCCCATGAATGGCTTCGGTTGCAGCTTCATTGGTTTTCTGTCTTCGAGGAATAGATTATAGTTTGTGAACTTCCCACTGCCAGCACGAATAAAGTGAATGCTTGTGCCATATGTTTTGGCCTTTAGTCCTTTCATGGAAGAGGTCATTTCTAGTGTTCTCCCTCTGTAGTTGTCTATGATAAATCCAATAATATATGCATGTCACCTGGACAACTAGCTAGCTCTAGACATAGTAACATTGCTCTCAATAAGAAGATTGACTCCTATTTTGTTTATTTTGTGCATTTTGGTTGGTGCTAGTTGCACTTCTATTAAACTGGGCTGCCATAATTCTGTTCGTTTGTGCTTTAACTTTTTATATTACAGAGGAATTTAGTATACTACTTTCTCTCATTGATGCTACTGTTTTCAGCAGTCTCGTGTTATCTATTTTGAACCTTAACTGATGAATACATGATGTACTTGTACCTACTGGGTACTTATTTTGATGCCTCATTTATGCAGGCCAAGCATTTATTCATACTCTATCAGGTGCTATGGAGAAAGCCTTAAGGGTATGGTAGATACTTTCTTGTTTATTTGTGCAACCTTTTCTATTTGGCATTCTACAACATTTTGTCTTACAATATAAAATTTTAGAATAAGAGCATTTCTTCATCAAAGAGGCAACATGTGCATGGTTGCAGCCTTGTTCGAGCAAAGAAATTATATGGGTATCATTCATCAGAGGAGCTGTTTGTGAAGATCTTTATGTATCCATTTGGCCTTTTATTTATTCGTTTCTGTCAACCTTTTCTTTCGTGATGTTTTAAAGTTATGTCGTTTTCATGTTTTTAGGGTTTGTTAGCTTTGAAATGGTAGTTGCATATATGCTTAATGCTACAACGTGGATGTTAGTTTCAATTTCTTAGTAAATAACTGACATTACTGCCATTCATCTTTGAAAAGTAGGAAATACTAATTCTGTAGCTTATAGAGAGAACAAGTGATTCAACGATTTTGAAATGTGGAATTTCAATTAATTTCTATTGCCATTCATCTCTACATGAGTGGGATACAAGTAAAATTCCATGCCTCATAAACTACTACTTCATTGCTCATTATTTGTGCAGACGTAGTAAAATAATAGTACAATTCTTAGCCTATTAAATAACATCCAGCCTGTAACAGAAAAAGAGTTAAAATTTCATTGCATTAGAAAAGTAATATGTTATCATCACAGTTGTCAACGAGAAAGTCTATTATTTGAATTGTGAAATGGTGGATATTAGCTTGAGTGAATGAAAATAAAGCTCATATAAACATATGTAATTATTTGAAGGAGCTTCTGATTTGAGATTGGGATCATGATAATGACTCCCATCTAAAAATTAAGGCTTGGCCTAGAGCCATGTTTAAGTTCTTTTCATTTTAACCTACAGATCATGGTGTTTGAATCTTTGAAATATCTCTATAGGGTGGGTGTAGGCCACCTAGATCTATGATTCTCTTTATTGGTGTGGGCCTCATGCATGTTTGTTCACCGCTTTATACAACATGTAAATAATATCAAACAATTAAGTAGCTTCTCCCATATCTGACTCATTTCACTTACACATTGGCCTTGTGAACGTATCCTTACATTTCACTGTTATTGTTGAATGTGCCTGATAATTGTGCATATTTTGTATACTTTTTCCTAATTTCTTCGACTGGATTGACATAATCTGTTGATTAGTTTTGCTCTTGGAGAATAGGTGATTGCCTAACCATTATTCTTGGGTGCCATATAACATTACTTTGGTATTAAATTATTTGGTTCTAGCAGCCATTGGCATACCAAAAGTATAATCAAGTAGTAATATAGAGAACGGGAAAGCAAAGATATAGGTATTTGGGTTTGCAAAATTCCAACTCGGCTTTGTTGACATATATTGGAGTTGGTATTTGGGCTGATTTTTAATAGGCAAATTGGATATTATACAAGACATTACCCAAAGAATTTCCCTTAACAAGGATTTTATAATCCTATTTGAGGTTTTCTATACTTAAAACCCTTATTATTAATCATCCCTGGCGATCATGAGAGGATTTTTGATTAAGACAGGGCAGTAGGTTTTAAGATGCTTTATTTTAATAACAACAAATAGGATTAGAGGAAAGAAAGATGTACCAATTTTGGTAAGTGGATGGTAGAGGAACGGTGACAAATTCGATCATGATCCTATGGTTTTGTTTGACTAGGTTGAATGATTTACTTAGTCAATAGGGATTTGGATGATCTTTATAAAAAACTATAGGTTATGTGATTCTGGAAGATCTCGTAGATCTGAGGTGAAACTTGAAAGTTTGTTGAAGTGGCCAACTTTAAGTCAAACTTGGCTAATGATGATCATTTTTAAGCCAAATTTGGCTAACAAAGGACTTCATGCCCTATCAAGCGCATATTATAATTCACAAACTTAGCTATTTGGAAGGATTCATGATTATGGCATAATTGTAATTTAGTGGCGTCATCACAATCAGGCTAATCAATTGGTCAGTAGCGTACATACCATATTCTTACTGGTCCGATTTTTTAATGTGATCATATGTATATACTTTGATATGACGTTAGCTTTTTATGATATTTGATCAGATTTAAATTTACTAATCATGACAAAAGGGTGTTTATAGTAGATTTATGGTCACTCTAAACATGAAGCAGTATGTTATTACTTGAGCTTTTTAATATACATACATACATATTTTCGACCCTGCCTGTTTTCTTACAAAGGGTCAAGTCCAGTTGAATTTCTTCTATGTCATTTGAATTTAATTTCTCCCATTTATATTAGAACATTCATAGTATTGATGATTGGTGTTTATATCTCAAAGATTTGAGGAAGGCCTAAGGCAAGGAATTGAATATCTGAATATCACTTTTTATAGAGGAGAAAGGAGATTTAGAGACATAGATAAAGAGATATTAAGAAGAAAAAGGAGAAAAGAAGTTCTCAAATCAAAAGAGCTAAGAGATAAATGAAGGAGAGTAGAAGTTGCAATTGGGAGTTTAGTAAACCAACATATTTTAATTTGTCACGACATGACCCCCTTAATGTAGGATTAGGGCCTCTATTATACACTCAAGACTTTTAATAACCGCCTAAAAACATTAAGAGAACTACAAAAGGAAATAAAATATGTAAAACATGTTTAAAACTACACGGGCCAAAGGCTATATCTTTCACAGATTCTAGTCATTTTACTTTTTGTCTTACTTTTTTCATCCCAAATTTGCTCACATTAGTTCCATGCTCATCTTATTGGTATAATCTTCTACCACCAGTGTATATGACCAAGCCATTTAAATCTTTCTTCTACTGTATCTTTGATCAGGGCTACACTAAAGAATTCTCTAGTACAGTTATTTATTCTCTATTCTTTCTCATTGACTGCAGACGCTCTTAAAATTTTCATGTTTGTGCATTCAAATTGGCTTTTAGCGGCTTCTAAATTGCCCAATACTTAAGTACATGTGGCTTAACTGATTTTATTGTAGTTTGTGAATTTGACTTTTAATTATATATGATATTCTCTTATAACATAGTACTCTTTGAGGAATTTTTTCATCTTAATTTTGCAGCTTCAACTCTAGAAGTTATTTTTCATTGATTTTCATTATTTTTGTATGGTGGATCCGAGCCACAAGCCTCTTATTCTTGGTCTTCTAACAATATTGATTTATATAATTAATTTCACATTTTCTAAAATTATATGTATGTGCCTAATCCTAATTCTACTAATTTTAAGAACTTTCTCTTCCAGAAGTTCCTATTATTTTTTTATTTTATTCACTTTATTGATGCCTCACTTTTCAAATTTATTATCTTCGAATAGCGCACATACAAAGTTATCTAAATTGGAATAACTTGTTTGTAAGTAATATAAATGATATTGTCTTAGTGTTTATCTTTAAAATGTCAAATAAGTATCCATGTGCCTTCTGATATAAATTTATTTTTGTTACTGCTTGCTCACATTTTGGGGTTTATGAAAGTTCATAGCCGGTTTACTTAGCTGTAAATAAAGATTTTATCCTCAATACATAAGTTCAGCTTATGTGGCCTTAATGATAATTAAAGATATTATCCTCATGATATTTCTCGAGCAGCTAGCCTTCTTCTGGTATGTAAATGCGTCCTCATCTACATGTTGGCCATGATGTTTAAGCATTTTATCATGTAATTGTTTGCTTTTTTGCTATCATCTTTAATTATATGATTGAACCAAAGCTTGAATATCAATTTTTGAAGTAGGCATTTCTTAGAACTTTCATAAGTTAATTTCACACCCAAACTTGTAACTTATGCTGAAATCTATTTAATGAATTCAAAATTGATGATAATGACATTGACATTTCTTGCAGCGTAGAATACATGATAAATGTATGTCAATTGAACCCTTTTTGGCAGTACACCTGCAATTTCAATCCTAGCGATATTAGATTTGTATATGTACAATATTTACGAAGGGCATTTTATCTTTGAAATTGTAGCTAGAGCTTTCGGAACTACTTGGCTGGTTTTAAGTTTCAAAGCCAAATGAATTCGAGTGAAACATGGAGTGCTTTGCCTTGTTGAGAAAATTATAATGTTCTACTTATTTTGAATTAGTGGTTAATCACGTTAATCAACATTTAGCTTTCTGTCGGTCTCCAATTGAAGGGATTATAAATTAGTGAGAGAAAAAATGGAGATTATTGGTAAAAATAATATTATAAAAATTCAATTACTAGTTAAGACGTGCTTTGAGAAGTTGAATTAGGGACTAACTATCAAATAAAGTAATATTTAAAAATTAATCTCATCATTAATCAATTAACCCCAACAAAGTAATATTACTAATGCTATTAATGAGTATTTATTAACGTTGTTATTAAGTACGTGGTATTATTAACCTTGTATTGATGCCCTTATTACTAAACTTTTAACCTTGATTAATAGGTTAATTAGTTAGTTATTCAGGCTCTACTTACAGATTATTATTTAGAAGCCTCGTTAGCTAATTACTAGTTAATCGGTGATTCTAATTATCAATCACTTTGCTCTATATGGCTGTTTCTTTCATAACCAAAATGTCAATTAATCACGAGTTAAATTAAAGAACAGCCTGTTTACAAGTTAATTAACCAAATTATAGGTTTTATTATTTTTTTAGGCATATGTTTGTTGCCAAATTACTCCAAAATAATGTTAGTAGTGTAATTAATTTCCTAATACTAGTTTAACATTATCATATAACTTATGATTATTAGTAGTTGTTTATTAACTTAATAATTATGCCATTAAGATATTTTTGATAAATAAATGACTAGAAATGAATTAGTTCGATGAGAACCATCGTTCTTTTGTTCTAGAATTAAGGCTTCGTTTGGGACGGCTTTCTTATTACTTCTTAAAGTAGATTTATAGTACAAAAATTAAAAATTTTGTATTAGAAAGCTGCTTTAAGAAGCAGTAATGATGCGGACAAAAGATATAGGGAGCCTATACCCTTCGCCCACAAAAAGACACGACGGACTTCTAATGACGAAAAGGACTAAAGAAGAGAAAAGGGACGAAAAATAGGGAAGAACAAACTCTTACATTTCAAATAAAAATAAACAAAAGAAATTACAACGACGACTTACAAACAACACGACAGACACCCTAAAATTTGATTTATTTTGGACTAGTGTTGACCCCCCCCCCCCTGTCTACATCAGACTCCCCTTCTTGTGAAACTCAGCTCCCGATGAGTTCGCTTTAGATTTGTATCGAGGAGGTGAAGACGGCGCTTCCATTTCACTGATCAGATCTTCATATTTCTGCATGATCTTGTCTAGCTCTTTCAGGAATTTGTCTTGTAAGCGCTGCTTTTTCTTGAAGTACCTTTCTGTTCGTATGTGCATCCATACTTGAAGCTTGTACAGTTCATATTCCAGTGGATTTTTTGATTTTGTCGGGATCCATCTATCTATAGATTCATCAAAGTCTTCTGCCTTGCTTTCTTCAAATTTTGTCTTTTTTCATTTTTTTGACGGACTCAAAAAAGACTCAAAATTACAAGACTCACAGAAAGACTCAAAAGACTCAACCTAAACGTAGACTCACAAATAAACTCTTTGACAAACTCGACAAACTCTGACTTGACAACTTCAACTAAACTTTGACAAACTTGACAAACAAAATCAAAACTTGACAAACTCACAAACCTAGGACTTCCTAACTTGCTCTGATACCAATTGATGCGACCAAAAGATATAGGGAGCCTATACCTCTTGATCACAAAAGACACGACAGACTTCTACGGACGAAATTGACTAGAGACGAGAAAAGAGACGAACAAATGGGAAGAACAAACTCTTACATTTCAAATAAAAATAAACAAAAGAAATTACAACGACGACTTACAAATAACTCGACAGACACCCTAAAGTTGCTGCACTTTGAGAAGAAGGATACAGGTGGAGTGGCACTTGCGGAGAGACGAAGATATTAGAAGCCTGAGAAGAAAGGGTGGAAAGAGCCCGCAGGATTTCCGGAGGGGATGAGAAAAGAAGGTTGGAAAGAGCCCGCAGGATTTCCGAGCAACCCGCAGGTTAACTGATTTTTTCCAAAAATCAAATTATCATTCACTTAACTTTAAACATAACATAACCCCCCATATTTATAGGTATGAAAGGGGAATACAAAAGGACACAAACACTTAATTAACACATAAAACTAAGCATTAAAAAGCATAGGAATCTCCCCCCAAGCTCTCGGTTTACACCCAAACCAGGAACCAAGGAGACAGCCACGGGAGACGAGGAGAACCGCACGGACCGAGAGCCACAGCCGCGGGAAACGAAGGAACCGCACGGAAGAAGGAGCCAGCCGTGAGATCCCAAGAGGCATACACTAAATTCAACTTCCCATGGTGGAATTCAAGGAGCCACACATGGGAAGACTAAACAACTACCTTGAATTCTCAAAAGCCATATTTTGGAAATACAAGAGACAACTTTTAAGACATTAAAAACTATAATAAAAGTGCATTTAAATAAAGATAAATATGAACTAAAATTGTTAGCTCATAATGAGCTAACCCTTAGTTCAATAAATGAACTAAAGTTCAGCTCATAAATGAACTAAAAGTTTAGCTCAAATATGATGAACTACTAGACTCAAGGGAAGCCAAAATTTGATTTATTTTGGACTAGTGTTGACCCCCCCTTTGTCTACATCAGACTCCCCTTCTTGTGAAACTCAGCTCCCGATGAGTTCGCTTTAGATTTGTATCGAGGAGGTGAAGACGGCGCTTCCATTTCACTGATCAGATCTTCATATTTCTGCATGATCTTGTCTCGCTCTTTCAGGAATTTGTCTTGTAAGCGCTGCTTTTTCTTGAAGTACCTTTCTTTCCGTATGTGCATCCATACTTGAAGCTTGTACAGTTCATATTCCAGTGGATTTTTTGATTTTGTCGGGATCCATCTATCTATAGATTCATCAAAGTCTTCTGCCTTGCTTTCTTCATTTTTTTTGTCTTTTTTCATTTTTTTGACAGACTCAAAAAAGACTCAAAATTACAAGACTCACAGAAAGACTCAAAAGACTCAACCTAAACGTAGACTCACTAATAAACTCTTTAACAAACTCGACAAACTCTGACTTGACAACTTCAACTAAACTTTGACAAACTTGACAAACAAAATCAAAACTTGACAAACTCACAAACCTAGGACTTCCTAACTTGCTCTGATACCAATTGATGCGACCAAAAGATATAGGGAGCCTATACCTCTTGATCACAAAAGACACGACGGACTTCTACAGACGAAATTGACTAGAGACGAGAAAAGAGACGAACAATAGGGAAGAACAAACTCTTACATTTCAAATAAAAATAAACAAAAGAAATTACAACGACGACTTACAAATAACTCGACAGACACCCTAAAGTTGCTGCACTTTGAGAAGAAGGATACAGGTGGAGTGGCACTTGCGGAGAGACGAAGATATTAGAAGCCTGAGAAGAAAGGGTGGAAAGAGCCCGCAGGATTTCCGGAGGGGATGAGAAAAGAAGGTTGGAAAGAGCCCGCAGGATTTCCGAGCAACCCGCAGGTTAACTGATTTTTTCCAAAAATCAAATTATCATTCACTTAACTTTAAACATAACATAACCCCCCATATTTATAGGTATGAAAGGGGAATACAAAAGGACACAAACACTTAATTAACACATAAAACTAAGCATTAAAAAGCATAGGAATCTCCCCCCCAAGCTCTCGGTTTACACCCAAACTAGGAACCAAGGAGACAGCCACGGGAGACGAGGAGAACCGCACGGACCGAGAGCCACAGCCGCGGGAAACGAAGGAACCGCACGGAAGAAGGAGCCAGCCGTGAGATCCCAAGAGGCATACACTAAATTCAACTTCCCATGGTGGAATTCAAGGAGCCACACATGGGAAGACTAAACAACTACCTTGAATTCTCAAAAGCCATATTTTGGAAATACAAGAGACAACTTTTAAGACATTAAAAACTATAATAAAAGTGCATTTAAATAAAGATAAATATGAACTAAAATTGTTAGCTCATAATGAGCTAACCCTTAGTTCAATAAATGAACTAAAGTTCAGCTCATAAATGAACTAAAAGTTTAGCTCAAATATGATGAACTACTAGACTCAAGGGAAGCCAAAATTTGATTTATTTTGGACTAGTGTTGACCCCCCCTTTGTCTACATCAAGTAAGAAAGCCGTCCCAAACGAGGCCTAAGTCTAGATCTCACAAATTCTTCTAATATTTGGATTTTGTTAATTCTAATTAACTGATCCATGTTGCAACCAATGGGCCTCATGATCTTAGGAAATATTTGAGGAAGAGGAAGGAGAGAAGAGAAAAGATAAAAACATAGAGATAAAGAGGGAGTGGAGAAAGTAATCACGATTATTATTCAATTAGAGCTGCTTTGCTATACGAATTGACTAGCTTTATGTAGACTCTTAACTCAACACTTTCCTAAAATGATAATGTGGACAGACTGCACTTAACACAATTCAAGATTCAATTTTAAACATGCTGAAAATTAAAGGAATGTATGCCTGATAATTAATGTGGAAGGAGTTCTAAAGACTATTTGTTATACATCAGGGGCCCTTAATGTTCTAATCCTTAAATAGACACAAGTTAAACCCGTAACCCAGCACTTTAAATTACATATTTTATTGTGTTATTAACCAAAACTGATGTAGAACGGGTAGGAGGTTTTGAATCCTAATGGTTTTGAAGAGCAATTAGTGAGGTTTAAACAGCATCTTTGACAGCAGGGACAGCAGTTTTGTCTTGTAGAAACTTCAGGACAGCAGGTAGAATCTGTCCGGAATGCAGAAAACTGTTCTGGACAGCAACCTATATTGCTCAGAAAAGCTTTGGGCAGCACATAGAAACTCTAACTGATGTAGAACGGGGAGGGGAGTAATGGCAAGAACGAACTCCAAGCGCCCTCCTGAAAACCTGAATTGAATCCTTAAGGGAATCTGAAATGCTTCAGATTTTATTGTCTTTTCTTTCAGAAATCTGAGTGGAATTTCTGAGGTGGAGAGGAGAATTCAAGCCGTGAATAGGAATAGAAAACTGAATGGGATTTCCTGCACATGCTCTAGATTAGAATGCTCTTCACCTGCAGGTAGGCAAGGGAGGGGGCCGGCTGCAATAATGCTAGGAGTAGCAATTAATGGGGGGAGATTATGGTCTCTTAATTTGGTATTAGGAATTAGGAAGTATTTAATCAAATCCAATTTGAATTTAAAATTCAAATGGATGTAAGTTAAGAACTTTCCTAAAATAGAGGAACCAAATTAGGAAAGAATTTGAAATTTGAATTTGAATAATTTCAAATTCAAATTAATCCCCATATTAACCCAACCAAATTAGGAAATCCCAAAGAGGGTGGGAGGAGAAGTTTCGGCCGGCGGCTAATGGGGGTGGAGCCGGCGGCAGGGGTTCGGGTATGGGGGATTTCGGGTGGGGATGAGAACTCGGCGGCCAAACGAAGATGGGGAGGAGGAAGAAGATGAAGATAATGATGAAGAGCAATAAGTAGGAACAAAAACAAATAAACAAAATATCAAAGATACAACCGCGAGCCCGGACACATCCTGCGGCTGACGGGTACTACGCTGCCCTTCTCCAAGGGACTTCACGCCACGAACCCGGACCAATCCTGCGGCTGGTGGAAACTCCGACTCCCATAGGGATTTCACTAACGTTCTTCCCAAAGAACCCAAGTGCAAAACACAAATTTTTTTTTACTAATAATCCATCATACCAAATACAAGAGAAGGGGCCTCTATATATAGGCCTCAAAAGAAATTAAAAGACAGATTAGCCCCTTGGGCTTACATAATACAAAAGGGTAAAAAGGGAAATTGCAAAATTAAATCAAAATACACTTAATAAACTAAAATAAAACAAAGTGATCTCGGTCGTCGATCTTCAGCTCCTCGGATAAGCATGGAGGTTGGATGTCCGCATCAAAAACTGATACTATATCATATCTCTAGAAAATATTATGATACAACCTAAAGATTCAATATCATGTTAGATGAAGGACAGCGTAGGGTATGGGTTTCTAATGTCGATCTAACGAGGGATGTGAAAATTATGCACTTGCACTGAAAATTTACATGTAATTAACTCTTAACATTTTAAAAATTATTTGCTACTTATTTTGTGTGTATATATATATATATATATATAAGAAAATCTTAGAGCTAATTAGAAAAAATGACTCGAAATTCAAAATTATTATTATTTTTTTTTTGGCAAATGATTGGAAATCCATGCACTTGTTGAAAACTAGATTGTATTGAATTTTATGAAAACTATCATGCTCTCAGAGCAACAACAAAATTTTGAACAAGAAAAATATGGGAATAATTCACCCAAAGAAACCCTTGTGTTTGAATGGCGATTAACCTTTCAAGTCTCTTGCTTGATTAAGGAGTTGACTACTGAATATAGAAGTAATAGTGCATTCAACTGGAATTCCTATTCAAGAACCAATTAACTTTTTTTTTTTGGCACATGCCATAGGCTCCCATTATAATTTCAAGCACTTCGGAATTCCTTTATTCACTAATCGAGGCAACTAAAAAATTGTATATAAATATTCCTGCAAAACAGAGAAATCCCAATAACAAGGGAAGTTATCCTGCTCCATAATAGAGGGTGAAGAAGAAAACTGTGTGATGATAGTGGCTTTTGTTTTTGGTTCATTTGGATTTGCTTTAACTCTCTCTATGTTTCATTTGCTTAACAAAGCTCAACCATTTGGATTAAATCTCTCCTGCTTCATGGTTTGAGGAAGCCTGTACTTCTATCAGATATTTGTGGTTGTGTTTAAAGATATCTTGAAGTTAATATATTTTCTATCACATTCTTTTGTAACTTTCCTTGAAATAAATCGTGTTCTAGTGGTTTTTGGGGAGCTGATTCTGTTCTGAACATTGGTGTAACAATTTTGGTGGAGCTCAGAAACTTGACATAAAGTTTATGCTCTCTGTTGGATGCAAATATATAAACAAATAATACATTTGATTTATTTTTAAGTAAAGAAAGCTGATTATGTTCAGTCATGTTCTAAGTACCCAACTTTTTGTTTTTTATTTCCTTCACATGCTATTCTGAATTCTTTTTGCGAACTTCATTGCAATTTTGTTTTAATTTGAGCGTTCAAATTCCAGTGTTAATTTGCAACATTAAGCTGGTTCTAGTGGCTGCATTTATAAACCCATTTGTTTATATTTGGAAAAAATTTTCCTATAGTAGTGATACTCACTATGGAAGAGGACTGGTTATGCTGGCCTCAAATAGTTTGGATTCGGCCAATGATGATGATGAATGATGAGTACTACTGACTAATTTTTATCAATCTGTAACGGGTGATGTGCAGTGATCATCGCCAAACATATAATGCTGTTTTGGCTCAGTGCTACTTATGCTGTAGTTTTCTGAACCTGTTTGTGATAAAGAGCCTAAAGTTTTCGTCCTTTCTACTTTTTATAGGATGGCTCTATTCTTGGTACATCTTTCCAGCCTTATGAATCTCATATACCGTACCTCCTTCAGTTCTTGGTAAGATTGCCATTTTGATTTTCTCTCAATTATTGTCTTGACTTGTACTAGCTTGCAAAAGTTATTTTGTTACTGAAAATTATTTCTTTGGTTGAAATGAATAGAGTTTTACTGAAATTGAAAAAGTCTTAATAAAACACTAATTTATCTTGATCGGCTAGTTTTCATATTGTTTTTTTTTTTGTTATTTTTTGGTTTCAATTTTTTACCAATGTGTAAGGCATAGTCATTCTTTCTGTATTATTTGAAGAGCGAATAAAGAGTTCTCTTTTTGCAGCTAGAATATTTGGTTCTTTATTGACCATTTTTTCTGGACTTTAAATTGAAGATACAACTATATTTGTGGATACAATGGTATAAACTGATTGGCTGAAATATTCTCTCAAGTGAAAATCCCAAACTTAAAGAAATTTAATCAAGGTTCTCAGCTTTTCTTTTCATCTTGAAATTTTATTTTTAACTTCCCTCTTATCTATTCATTTTCATTCAATGATCCAATCCGGAAAAGGGAAAAAAACCAATTTAACTTCTTTCACTTAGTAATTCAAGAGCATATATGCATGTATGCATTACCTGCACTCACGCATTTGATTTTTTTCTTTCATGATTCTTTGGTACTTAAGATGGGTCCAATCTAGATCCGGAATGAACATGTCGGCCAGCCAATTTTTACTGTTGTCTGTTTAAATGCCCATTCTAATGTATTTTTACTGCAATTTTCTACCACCCATTGTATAATGAATGTTGTATCGTGTTTATGATGGTCAATGAAATGCCTATTAAAACCAGAGCTGATTTTAAGTTTCTATGTCTCAAACGTTGTGTACTTGCAATATTATTTTTCCTTAACTGTATATGACCTACAGAAGAACTAACCCAGAGCTGATGCATATATGCGAGTCATTGAATTGTGATCAGACTTGTAGCCAAATTATTGGAATATTATCTTCAAATTGCCTCCTTATCCAAGGTCTTTTGGGAGGAATCAGTGGCTGAACTCCCTGATTTGAATATTTGCCTGGCTGATTGCATGGCAATGGGGACACCCTTATTTGACACTTTCACCACAGATAGATTTCTTGTTCGATACCTATCAGTTATGTTCATACAAATACGCTGTAGCCTTCAAATTATGTAACTTTGCTAGGCTAATCCTTTCTTACCATGTGTTACGTTTTTTTGAGCTTATAAGATGCTTATCATGCTTTGTCCGCATAGCTCTTTCTGATGAAGCTGAGTGTCAAATTATATTTCTGTTAGGTTGACTACAATTTAAATGGAATGAGCCATTTGCACACGTCAAAGGTCAAATTCCGTTCTCCATTAACATATTACTGTAATGCTGCTTCTTTAAGGAACAAGAATTTTGATATGCCAGTAAGGAATACTTTCACATTTGATTTTTTTAATCAATTATGACATTTTGAGGCATTATTTACTTCATTTTTCTAAAATTCAACTTGTGATTCTTAAATTTGTAACACCAGCCAACTCTGAGTAGCAGCACTAGTGATAAAACAAAAATATGGCTTCCTTCCACGGTACCAAGTTCTGCAGTCTGGCCAGATTCTACTGGCTCGCTTGATAGCATTGATAACAAGTGCATCGACCTGATTAGACGTCAGAGCATCTGTCAGCTAGAGGTTGATACAAGTGTTGAGGGTTTGTGTTTAATCATCTAGTAACAAATAATGCTTAATCATTTGTATATCTTTGTTGCACTGTTTATGTCTTTGATTTATTTTGGGTTGCAGACATCATCAATCAGAATTTTAAAATTTACACGTCCCTTTCTCAGACAAGTTTTGATGTTAGAATGGTTCAATCACTAGTACCTATTTGGGAGGTCTGTTATCTGTTTAACCGATTTCATCTTCATTATATGCATATTAAGAATGACTTCATGATTTTTTTGTCCTTTTTTTAACTTAGGAGGAATATGAGCGCTCTGGTATCCATGAGGCAACCAAGCTAGATGATCCCAAACGATCTCGTGCAGATCGGGTCTTGAGAAGTTTTATGGACGGGCTTAATTATGATAAGCCACTCCATGAATTGTGCTTAGAAACAAGCAATTTTTTTCCATCCAAGGTCCACGTTGATGGGAGTGAAAATGTAGTCAAGTATATGAAGCCGTTTAGTGACATTTTCACGAAAATTGAACTCACGGGTTCTCACCAGCATGACAAATCTCGTGATGTTTGTTTGGTGGGTGGGGAAGAGGAAAATAGAAATAAAGAAACATCATCTTCCCAAAGTCCAATGCGAGGAGATTTGCAGGTGCCTTTATATGCTTCTTGTCTTACATGTTTTGAATCCCATGCGATAATAATTGAGAGTATTATTCTTTTGACGCAAGCTTTGTGGTGTACATTAATCTCAGTAGCAATTTATCTACCGTATTTTTAAAGTTTTTACTAGTCATTATTAGTAAAGAGAGCTGTTTTGAGTGGATTTTTTCTATTAATTAAGGAGAGATGTAATATTTAAAAGAATAGTATTTAGATATGATTTGGGCGGATGATAGGTTGATTAGATATATATGACTCAGCCTTTTGTGATACCAAAAGAAAGTGAAGAGGAGAGCTCAAAAACCTAAAAGAGTGCCAAAATAATATCAAGAACATAGACTTGGACAGCAGTTGGACAACTCAAAGATCGTTTCTTGTCCTTGGAGCCCTAGTAGTGGTAGGAAAATTGATTTTCAGTTGATTCTGGCAAGGCAAGAGCCTTCCTGGCTTCCTGCAGCTGAACTCTACAGGTTGATAGCCTTCATGCACTCCAAAATCAATCTGCAGTGGAAATCTAGCACTCCAAGAGCCTTCCTACACTCCCACCATGACCTGGTAGCCCCATCATCCTTGTAAAAGTCGCTCAACACCCTGCACTGTCACTTGAGACCAACTGAGATTCGACTGGTCAATTGTGATGAAGGCCATGACTCCACTACAATCATCACCTCCAAGAACAAGGGACTTCTCCCAAGACGAGCTGAAACATTTGATTTCTTTTCACCAAAAAAAAAAAAAAAACAAATAAGAAATATACCCTACTGTTATAATTGTGTCGTGCTCCTTGGGTTGGAGATGAGTTGCCTTCAAAGTATTGAACAATTTCTTATTCATAGTAAATTGAAATGTTAGCTACATTGAAAGTTACGTTATGTTTAGAGTTTCATGGCAAGTCAATTTATAAGCATTCTCTGTATGCATTTAATAATTAGGAATGGAATAGTAAGACAATTTATAAGCATTCTCTTGTATGCATTTAATAATTAGGAGTGGAACCAAGGACTTTAGCTTAAATTTTACAAATGGATGTATTGGAAATAGTTCATTTCATAACTGAATCCAAACACGATTTCCTTATTTAAAAATGCAGTTGAGGTATGGGAAGATTTAGCTTGTTGTTCGTACTTTGTATTTTGCTTCATAATCATATCCAGTTCTTGTTGATGGAGTTTCCTGATCTTTCTAGGTCACCTATTTGATACCAATTAATGCAATCATATCCAGTTCATATCCAGTTCTTGTTGTTCGTACTCTGATACCAATTAATGCAATCAAAAAATATAGGGGACCTATATTCTTCGATCACCGACGAAATGACTAAAGGGATGAAAAAAAGGAACGATCAAACTAAACAAAAGAAAACTTACAATAATACAAACGACTCTTGCAAACAAAATGAAGACACCCTAAAGTTGCTGCACTTGGAAGAAAGATACAGGTGGAGTGGCACTTGCGGAGAGACGAAAGAGGTTAGAAGCCCGAGAAGAAGGGTTGAAAAGAGCCCGCAGGATTTCTGGAGGGAATGAGAAAGAAGGGTGGAAAGAGCCCGCAGGATTTCCAAAGCAAACCCGCAGGTTAAAGCTTCCAAAAATAAATCAAATTTTGGCTTCCCTTGAGTCTACTAGCTCATTCCATTTGAGCTGAAATTTTAGCTCATTTATGAGCTGGTCTTTAGTTCATTTATTGAACTAAGGGTTAGCTCATTATTAGCTAACATTTTAGTTCATTATCTTACTTTTTATTAAATATTATTTAGTTTTTAATGTTTCTTTTTATGGTGTCTCTTCGGTTTCCAAAAAGGGCTTTTGGAATCCCAAGGTTGTTGTTTAGTCTTCCCATGTGTGGCTCCTTGAATTCCACCATGGTTTTATTGCTCTCACCCCATGGAATTCCGGTCGGCCGCTGGTTTTCCCGTGCCTGGGCTCTTTCCCGAGGCCATGGCCCCTTGGTTCCGTGCGGCTTCCTCGTCTCCCGTGGTTGCCTCTTCGGTTCCTTGGCTTGGGTGTGTTTTTTCATGCAAAACATTAGTGTTCTAATTAATTGTGTTGTTTAGAATTCCTATGAGAATTTAATGTAATGTGTCTCTTTATATTCCCTTTCATACCTATATATATGGGGGATTGTTTATGTTTGAAGTTAAGTTGAATGATAAGTTATTTTTGGAAGCTTTAACCTGCGGGTTTGCTCTGGAAATCCTGCGGGCTCTTTCCACCCTTTTTTCTCATCCCCTCCGGAAATCCTGCGGGCTCTTTCCAACCTTTCTTCTCGGGCTTCTAACATCTTTCGTCTCTCCGCAAGTGCCACTCCACCTGTATCTTTCTTCCAAGTGCAGCAACTTTAGGGTGTCGTCATTTTGTTTGCAAGAGTCGTTTGTATTGTTGTAAGTTTTCTTTTGTTTAGTTTGTTCGTTCCTTTTTTTCATCCCTTTAGTCATTTCGTCGGTAGAAGTCCGTATTTCTTTTTGTGATCGAAGAATATAGGTCCCTTATATTTTTTGATTGCATTAATTGGTATCAGAGCAAGCTAGGAAATCCTAGGTTGGTTTGTCAAGTTTTGTTTTCAAATCAGTGTTTGTCAAAGATGTGTCGAGTCAAGTCAGAGTTTGTGAGTTTAGTCAAGTCGTTAGTCTTGTCTTAAGTTTTTAGATTGAGTCTTGTAATTTTTTTATTGAGTAAAAAAAAAAGGAAAATACCAAAAATATGGCTACATTCCTGGAAGAAAGCGATCAACATAATCCTGATGTCCCACTCCCGTTGGACTGATGGATACCTACAGAAGGAGACTCAACAGATCCACTTCAAGATCGACTCTACTAACTGCAATATCACATGTTCCTATGTGATCAAAAATTCGAGAAATACAAAAGATATCTGTAACAACAATTTGAAAAAGAACAGGAAGAAATTCTGAAAAGGTTTGGTGAAAAACTCAAGGAGCTCGATGAACAGTATGCACCGCCTCAAGGGAATCAACAACAGATAATTCATCAGGAGCTGAATTCGCAAGAAGGGGAGTCTGATATAGACAAAGGGGCGGTCAACACTAATCCAAAATAAATCAAATTTTGGCTTCCCTTGAGTCTACTAGCTCAATCCATTTGAGCTGAAATTTTAGCTCATTTATGAGCTGGTCTTTAGTTCATTTATTGAACTAAGGGTTAGCTCATTATTAGCTAATATTTTAGTTCATTTATTAACTTCTTTTTTATTAAATGTTATTTAGTTTTTAATGTTTCTTTTTATGGTGTCTCTTGGGTTTCCAAAAAGGGCTTTTGGAATCCCAAGGTTGTTGTTTAGTCTTCTCATGTGTGGCTCCTTGAATTCCACCATGGTTTTATTGCTCTCACCCCATGGGATTCCGGTCGGCCGCTGGTTTTCCCGTGCCTGGGCTCTTTCCCGAGGCCATGGCCCCTTGGTTTCGTGCGGCTTCCTCGTCTCCCGTGGTTGCCTCTTCGGTTCCTTGGCTTGGGTGTGTTTTTTCATGCAAAGCATTAGTTTTCTAATTAATTGTGTTGTTTAGAATTCCTATGGGAATTTAATGTAATGTGTCTCTTTATATTCCCTTTCATACCTATATATATGGGGGATTGTTTATGTTTGAAGTTAAGTTGAATGATAAGTTATTTTTGGAAGTTTTAACCTGCGGGTTTGCTTTGGAAATCCTGCGGGCTCTTTCCACCCTTCTTTCTCATCCCCTCCGGAAATCCTGCGGGCTCTTTCCAACCTTTCTTCTCGGGCTTCTAACCTCTTTCGTCTCTCCGCAAGTGCCACTCCACCTGTATCTTTCTTCCAAGTGCAGCAACTTTAGGGTGTCGTCATTTTGTTTGCAAGAGTCGTTTGTATTGTTGTAAGTTTTCTTTTGTTTAGTTTGTTCGTTCCTTTTTTTCATCCCTTTAGTCATTTCGTCGGTAGAAGTCCGTATTTCTTTTTGTGATCGAAGAATATAGGTCCCCTATATTTTTTGATTGCATTAATAATCATATCCAGTTCTTGTTGATGGAGTTTCCTGATCTTTCTAGGTCACCTATCTGCCTTTATATTATATTTTATTGTAGTAGTTATCAGGATAAGCTCTAAAGGATTTTTGGGATCTTGTCTTCGACCTGTTGTTTAGCTACTTGACTAGCTGTAAGCAAACATAACTTGGGCTAAAATAATATATCATTATTGATATTCTTGCCAATGAAACGCCAATACAAGTTGAGACTAAGTTCACAAGATTAGTCTATCTGTTTGTTTGTGGATGAGATATCGAGCAAAATTGAATATCGATTTTAAATGTTTGCTACAACATCCTCTAAAAGAGACTAAAAAATTAGACATCACAATTAGAGGTAATATATTTGGGAATACCACGTAAGCTCATGATCTCACTTAAGCAAAGATCGAAAATGTGCGAAGCATCATGAGTCTTTTGGCATTAAAAAATTGTGCTCCATTTTGGAGAGTTGATCTGCCATCACTATAATCAAATCTTTGTGACATTGCGTGTCTGAAATCCTACAAGAAATCCATAGTTACATCGGTCCATGGCGACTCTATAACTAGAAGGGGAGTGGTAAGCCCCGTTTATTGGCTGCTTGCTTTGGTAATATGACAAATCCTGCTATCTTTGATAAGTCAGTAAACATAATGTTTTTAAAGAAGATCAATAGAAGTTTTCTTGTACTTGGGAAATTATCTTATCTCACTTAAGGGTTGTTTGGTTGGCTAAAAAAAAGATTGCAGTGTAAAAGAAATGCATTGTAAAAGGAATATTTTAGTGTTGTTTGGATGAGTGTAAAGTAAATTCAGGTGAATGATTTTTTTTTGTTTGGTTTAAAGTAAAATGAAAAGTGTAAAGTTTAAAAATGATAGTCGACAATAGGTGACGGCAGGGGTGGCCCACGACCGGCGATGGTTAGAGGGCGGAGGTGGTGGCCGATAGTCGGTGGTGCCGGTGGCTGGATGATGGTGGTGGTGGTGGCCGGAGAGTGGCGGTGGTGGTGGC